GTAGAGATAGTCAGAATGACACACTGAGCAAAGGTTACAGGAGTTGAAATATGCACATCATAGATACTCAACTAAAAATAGTCTAACAAAGCAGGGGAATCAGAGTTTACACATTCTGTCTATTCGCCCCTGACTCTTCCCCTGTCCTCTCTTCCTTTGCAATGCTCTTTTTTTTCTCTTTCACTAAACCCATATGCTTTCACTTCCCTGCTTTCTCATGAGCCCTTGTGTGATTGAGATCTTAAAGTGCAATGGTGCCAAGAACATTCCTGATGAATCGCTATGGCTGCCAAGCACAAACAGTCATGTTTCTGTCTATAACAAGGCCGAGCGCAGAGCCAAATGGAAGTAAATCAAAATAAGAGCAGGAAACACTGAGAAACACGTGTTCAGCAACTTGCCTTTTGCTTAGTTCCCACTTTTTTAGTTTACTTGTGCCATTACAGAGGAAACATAGCAAGGGTTTATCAGACTGCTCATCCTCAAAGGCCGGAAAAGAAAGTCAACATGTCACAGTCTGCAGGAGATGCAGCAACCCAAGGCTGTCCCCTTTAATTTTGTTTTTTTGAGTGACTTTTGGCTCAGACCCCTCGTGGATCTGTGAGTAGAGGTACAACACTGCATTTCCCTTTTGACTTAGGAGATACTAAGAAAATGGAAAGACATTACAGTTCAAGGTGAAAGATGTAAGTGAACACTGGGAATGGAGAAAACCTCAATTAACTGGCCCACTTGTATAAATTATTAGCTCCATAATAGATGGACAGCTAAGCAACTGGGAGCAATAAATCCAACCAAACACCAAAATACCTATTGTGATCGTTTACTATGAGCCTTTTACGGAATATTCAGATTTTATGCTTATTTATAGATTACCTTTGGCTTGAGAACAGAAAACAACAAAAAAATAATAGTGTAGTATATCATAAACCGGATTCCTGCCCAAGTAGAATAATGGATTGCTTATTCACATGGCAGATAGCATTTAAAACATGTCCCCACTTGCATTCACCTGTGACATTGACAAGGCTAAATTACTTGGAACACAACTGCACATTGGTGTCAGGATTACAGAATGATCTAGCACATAGAATTGTGTAACACAGAGGACTGAAAGGTAACGTATACCAGACCTTAGAATGGCCGGACTAACGTGCCAAAGAATAGTCAGGAATAGCCGAGGTAAAGGCATACAGAAAGAGACACAACAATAAGGAAAAGTCAGGAGTCAGGGATGCCAGAAAACAGGGAAGTCAAAAACAATGCCAAAGTCAAATAACCAGAGTAACCAGAATCAATAACGCGCTCTCGGACAACCACAAAGGAAACCACGACAGGGCACTGAGCAGGATGAGAACTGGGCCTAAATACCCCTCCTCTAGATCTGATAGGCTGTAACTGGCCTTTAACCCCAAAGGCGGTTACCAGGTTTCCATTTGCATAATTGCTGCTCAGCATTAACTCTTCTGTGGATTTGATTGCTGCTCGGCACAACTTTTCCTGTGTGGACAGTAAATGCCATTAACCACATTTTTATAGGCGGATGAATATGTGACATTACCCCCCACCTGAAGAATGCCCACTGGGCGGGCAGGACCAGGCTTGAGAGGAAATTTGGCGTGAAAATAGAGAATCTTGCGGCCAGCATGTATATCAAATGCCGGAACCCAAGAACGATCGGCTGGTCCATAACCTTTCCAATCCACCAAGTACTGTAAAGTGCCCCGAGAAAACCTGGAATCAATTATGGAGGAGACTTCATACTCTTCCTGTCCAGAAACAACTAAGGGAGGAGGAGGGACACTTGAGAAAGTATATTTATTGCAAACAAGAGGTTTGAGCAAGGACACATGAAAGGTATTAGAAATTTTCAAGGAGGCTGGAAGGGCCAGAGAGTATGCAACAGGATTGATCCTACGAAGGACACGTAAAGGTCAAAGGAACCTAGGAGAAAATGTTATGCTAGGGATTTTGAGCCTGATGTTACGAGAAGATAACCAAAAGCTCTCACCCACTTGGTAAACAGGGTTGGCACCTCGACGTGTATCAGCATAATGCTTGAAACGGTCAGCAGCAGTATCCAGAGCAGATTGAACTTTAACCCAGGTATCACGGATAGAAGCCAGACAGTCATCCAAAGCAGGAATAGCCGTATCAGTAAAAACAGCCGGTAGGACAGTAGGATGCCTCCATCAAAATGGTCAGCAGCAGTACCCAGAGCAGATTGAACTTTAACCCAGGTATCACAGATAGAAGCCAGACAGTCATCCAAAGCAGGAATAGCCGTATCAGAAAAAACAGCCGGTAGGACAGTAGGATGCCGACCATTATTAACAAAAAATGGACTATGCCCAGAGGAGTCATGGTCAGCATTGTTCTTAGCAAACTTGGCCCATGGTAATAATTCGGACCAATTGTCTTGAGTGCTATTAACGAAACAACGCAAATATAATTCCAAGGACTGGTTAGCCCTCTCAGCTGTACCATTGATCTGGGGGTGGTAAGAGGATGAAAAAGACAATTCAATCCCTAATTGTTTATTGAAGGCACTCCAAAACCGAGACACAAACTGAGAACCTCTGTCAGATACTATATTGTGAGGAATGCCACGCAGACGGACAATTTCTTGTATAAAGATTAGTAGCAGGTCTTGAGATGACAGCAATTTCTTGAGAGGAATAAAATGAGCCATTTTAGAAAAACGGTCCACAACCGTGAGAATGGTGGTATAACCATTAGAACTAGGAAGTTCAACAATGAAGTCCATGGACAAGTGGGACCATGGGACCTCAGGAATAGGAGGAGGTTGTAACAAGCCACAAGGGAGTTTATGAGGAACTTTGGAAACCGCACAAACAGAACAAGCCTGCACATATTCTTTAACATCCTTCCTGAGGGAATCCCACCAGAATGACCTCATGATAGCAAAAGTGGATTTATTAATACCTGGGTGACCAGCAGACACATTGTCGTGAAACACCTTCATGATATTAACCCTTTCCCCCAATGGAACGAACAGTTTGTCCTGAGGTTTACAGCAGGGCGTCTGAGACTGAGCCTCTATGATGGAGCCAAGCAGTGGAGAGGACAATGAAAGGACAGTGGACGCAATTATACATTCCGGGGGAATGATATAGGACGTTTCTTGCTCTAGTATAGCTTCAGTATCAAACTGCCTGAACAAGGCATTGGCCTTGACATTTTTAGAACCAGGTCTGTAGGTGATAAGAAAATTAAAGCGAGAAAGAAATAGAGACCACCTAGCTTGTCTAGAAGATAATCGCTTAGCATCTTCTATGTAAGCCAGGTTTTTGTGATCAGTAATGATCAAAAGGGGGTTCTTGGAACCCTCTAGAACACGGGTGTCAAACACAAGGACCGCGGGCCGAATCCGGCCCGTCAGACCTCGTCATGTGGCCCGTGTAGCCGCCTCCGGCCGCCAGCCCAGTGGCGGATCCAGGGGGGGGGCAACGGGGCAATTGCCCCCCCCCCCCGAGAATACCGACGGTCTCCCTCTCCTGCCAGCCCATCAATGTGCCTGCGGACCGGAGGGGAGATCACAGATCTCCCTCCCCGGTCCGCAGGCACAGTGCTGACAGCCGGCGGGGGAGGGAGGGATAGAGGACACGGAGCTCAGGCTGCAGCTCCTCCGGGTCCTCCTCTCGCAGGAGTTGGAGCGTTGCCGCGGTTACTACGGCAACGCTCCAAATCTCGCGAGAGTGAACTCTAGCCCTGGAGCGTGGGCTAGAGTTCACTCTCCCCACTGGGACCACCAATGAATCCCCCACCGGACCACCAGGGAAATGTCCCCCCTCCCCCCAGTAAAGGTAAGAAGGGAGGGGGGACATAAATATATATTTAATTAAAATTATATATATATATATAATATATAAAGCCCCCCTACCCTTATATCACACACACACACCACACACACACTGCTCCATACACACACACTGCCCCCATACTGCCCTTATACACACACACTGCCCCCCATACACACATACTGCCCCCCATACACACGTACTGCCCCCCATACACCCGTTCTGCCCCCCATACACACACACTGCCCCCATACACATACACTGCCCCCACAACCGGCCCTTTGAGGGTGACCAAACTGCTGATGCGGCCCCAGATGAATTTGAGTTTGACACCCCTGCTCTAGAAGATGTCGCCACTCCTTGAGAGCTAGAATAATGGCCAACAATTCTCTATTGCCAATATCGTAATTGTGCTCAGCAGGAGACAACTTTCTAGAAAAGTAACCACAAGGATGTAACAGAGTTTCCTGGCTCTCCCTCTGGGAGAGAACTGCCCCTACCCCTGTCTCTGAAGCATCAACCTCCAGTATGAAAGGATTACTGGTGTCAGGATGTATCAATATGTCGGCAGAGGCAAACCGCTGTTTGAGAGTTTCAAAGGCTTCAATTGCCTCCTTAGACCATATCGTACTACTAGCCCCCTTGTGTGTCATATTGGTGATGGGGGCTATTACTGAAGAAAATCCCTTTATAAATCTTCTGTAATAATTGGCGAAACCAATGAACCTTTGAATGGCTTTCAACCCAGTGGGTAAAGGCCACTGTAGAACAGACACTAGTTTTTAAGGATCCATCTGAAACCCCGAGGCAGAAATATTATATCCTAAAAACTGTACTTCAGACTGATCAAAGATACATTTTTCCAGTTTACAATAAAGTTGTTTTTTTAACAAAGTTTGCAGAACTTGTTTAACGTGATCGTGGTGAGACTGGAGGTCAGGAGAATAAATAAGGATATCATCCAGATAGACCAAGACAAACGAGTAAATGTAATCCCTGAGTACATCCAGTGGCATACATATCTGGGACGCAGGAGTCGCAGCTGCAACTGCGCCCGGCCCACCAAAGGGCCCGGCCGCCCCTGCGACCCGGTATGTACCCACTGGGCCAGCCTCTTCTCCTGGGGGGGCCCAGGAGCCGGCCACCTCAGTGCCCCCTGAGGCTGTCCCTGCTGACCCGGCAGGCGCGCAAGTGAGCACTCTCCCCTGAGTGCTTCCTCTTCAGCTCCCTTGCGCACCGCACTGATACCGGAACCGGATGATGATGTCATCTTCTGGCGCCGGCATCCCTACGCGGCGTGCGAGGGAGCTGAAGAGGAAGCTCTCAGGGGAGAGTGCTCCCTCGCGCGCCCGCCCGCCTGCCCGCAGGACCGGCCGCCCAGGAGCCCAGCAGCACCACTGGACCCCAGGGAATCCCCTCAGCTCTCCAAAAGGTAAGGAAGCTGGGGAGATTAAATTTTAAAAAAATGAGTGTGTGTGTGTGTGTTAGTGTGTGTGTTAGTATTTGTTAGTGTTAGTGTGTGTGTTAGTGTTAGTGTATGTGTGTTAGTGTGTGTGTTAGTGTTAGTGTGTGTGTGTTTGTGTGTGTGTGTGTGTGTGTGTGTTAGTATGTGTGTGTTAGTTTGTGTGTTAGTGTGTGTGTTAGTGTGTGTTAGTGTGTGTTAGTGTTTGTGTTAGTGTTAGTGTGTGTGTGTTAGTGTGTGTGTCTGCTAGTGAGTGTCAGTGAGTGTGTCCGTTATTGAGTGTGTCTGCTAGTGAGTGTCAGTGAGTGTGTTACTGTGTGTGTCTGTTACTGAGTGTGTTTGATGTCTGTTAGTGAGTGTGTACGTTTTGTAAGTGAGTGAGTATGTATGTCTGTCACTGAGTGTGTCTCTATCAGTAAATGTGTGTGTCTGTTAGCTAGTGTGTATGCGTCTGTTTGTGAGAGTGTGTGTGTGTCTTCAGTATTTACCTTTCCTCAGCGCTAGACTCCCTTGGCGCTGGAGATCCCTCCGCCTCTCAGCTCCGAATGCACATGCGCGTCAAGAGGCTCGCGTGCATTCAAAACTCCCATAGGAAAGCATTACTCAATGCTTTCCTATGGACGTTCAGTGTCTTCTCACTGTGATTTTCACAGTGAGAATCGCGGAAGCTCCTCTAGCGGCTGTCAATGAGACAGCCACTAGAGGCTGGATTAACCCTCAGTGAAACATAGCCATTTCTCTGAAACTGCTATGTGTTCAGCTGCAGGGTTAAAACTAGAGGGACCTGGCACCCAGACCACTTCATTGAGCTGATGTGATCTGGGTGTCTGTAGTGGTCCTTTAAGTGTGTGTGCATACCGCGATCGCAGGGGTCGCAGCCCTGCAACCCCTGCGACCAGGTGCCCGCTGCCATGTGTTGCGGCCCGACCCGCGCCGAGTAAGCACGGGGGGGGCCACGGATCAATTTTTGCACCGGGGCCCCATGGGTCATATGTATGCCACTGAGTACATTGTTAATGAAATCTTGGAAAACCTCTGGAGCATTGCATCAATGGCATCACTAGATATTCAGTGTCCACTTCTGGTATTAAATGCAGTATTCCACTTGTGGTTTTCCTTGATTCTCACTAAATTGTAAGCACTTCTAAGGTCAAGCTTAGTAAATACTTTAGCGCCCTGGAGTCTGTCAAATAATTCAGCAATAAGAGGAATGGGGTAGGCGTTCTTAATGGTGATTTTGTTCAATGCCCTGTAATCGATACATGGGCACATGGGCGAGGATGATTTCCGTATATGGCCTTTATTCAATGAATCTTTAATATATTCCTCAATTACACTACTCTCCTGAGGAGATAGAGCATAGACTGTAGTAAGTTAATGGAACAGTCATATGGTCTGTGAGGAGGTAGAGTATTAGACTGAGTCTTGCTGAATACTTCTATAATGTCTTGGTATTGTATAGGGATCTTGGGATTTTGAGGTGTACTAGTGGGTAATCCAATAGTGATTCAATAGTGCCCACTCTTTTGGTGACATGCAATATGCACCTTTCATTACAATCCTTACCCCATTCTAATATTTCCCCATTAGCCCAGTCAATATGAGGGTTATGCTTGCTAAGCCAAGGGAATCCTAATATAATAGGGGGGAGGAGAGGTCACCAGCGCCGAGGGAGCCCGGCTCTGGATAAAGGTAAGCAAGTTTTAACCCCTTTAGCGCCAAGGGAAGGGGACCCTGAGGGTGGGGGCACCCTCAGGGCACTATAGTGTCAGGAAAACCGCTTTGTTTTCCTGACACTATAGTGATCCTTTAAATTAAACAATTCTGAGCTATACATCAAAACAAAATTAAATAGTACACTAACTCTTTCAAATGTCTAGATATGTTGCTAGACCCAAATCTTTTGTTCTCCACATTGATAAACTCTCATTAAAACGATATCCAAATCTAGGTGCGCTGTACAGAAACCAATCCTGTCTAAGCCCTACAGTAAGGAAACAGTGCAACAAATGCTAATGCCGGTCATTGATTATGAGGGTGTAGTGTATGCACCCGCACCGCAAACCCATCTTAATAAACTTAATACATTGTATAACTCATGCTCCCACTTTCTGCTACAATGTAATTACATGACCCACCAATGCGACATGTTAAAAAAGCTAAACTGGCTATTGCTGGAATTCCAGACGCACTATTCAACTTTCCAGCCTTGTGTTTCAGAGCCCTTGTGGTAAGCTCCCACCCTACCTGAGTAAAATGCTCTCTCCGGCTGTTCCCACCTCCTATAAGCTCTGATCCAGTACTAGCACAATATTTAGCATATCGTAATACAAAAATAAAGTGTCTCGATCCTCATTTTCCTACAGAGCATCGCAGTTATGGAATAACCTCAGGGACAATGTCAAATCTTCATTCAATCTAAAATCTTTTAAGAGATCTATGGCAATAAACCTCAATACAGAATGCCCTGTCATGGTTGAATATATGTATTACCTGTTATGTATTAAATGTATATATGTGTGTATGTATATTTGTACATTTATATGTATATTGTAGCATTATTTGTAATTTTTGTAATATTATATTGTAACAATGCAGTGTTTGTGGTCCCAGGACATAATTGAAAGTGAGAGAAATCTCAATGTATCATTCCTGGTAAAATATTTTATAATTAAATAAATAATATGAGTCCTTATAACTGAGAAGTAAGTAGTAACAGTGCATTTAAAGTGTGAATTTGAAACCGTTTTGTTAAATATGGAGTGGAGATAATTCAGTGTGTAGTGGAGATAGGTTAGTATGTAATAGAGAGCAGACTCTTCATATACAGATTTTTTACAAAGGAGAATAGATTAGGGTGGTAACTGTGTATAACCACGAGAAGGCAGCAAGGAGATGGTCTGGAGGTCCCACCCAGTTTAAGGAAATTCTGAAGCTTTGTTTAGCAATAGGGAATATATTAGGTTAATAATAAAGAATGGCACCCATTCAGTAGCAGGAGATCCAGCAGTTATCGACAAACAAAACAGAGAGAAAATTAGCCATGTACAGAACTTCGTTCCAACAAACTGCCAGTTACCAGTAAGCTTGTGCATGGCAACAAAAATGCTTCATTTTAATCAATTGTAAAAAAAAAAAAAAAGCTCCGGTGAACTGAAATTCATTTATCTGCATTTCATTTTCATTATATGCTATTTTGGATGGGATGAATTTTACCAAAAACAAGAGTCTACTAGTATACTGCAAATCAAAAAATTATATTACCGAGCTTAATAGCTGGTTGGCTCTGCAATATCAGTCATTTCTACCATGTCAAAAACTATGTAGAAAACTCAGCTCTCGATTGCATTCTATCGGCAAGACCAAGTGAACAATTATCAGACAATATTTTTATCACGTTTGACTAGATCTGATTCCAGACAAAATTCTAGCAGACAAACCCAGTAAACAGATCGGCTGAAAAATCATCTGATAAATGTGCTTTGAAAGCGTATTTATCAGTCTTATTAATGAATATTCCTAATAGTCATTTAAAAAGTATTTAAATAAAAGCATGTGAGGTTCGATATGATCCCCACATTAATTCAAGGGAGGTTTTAACCCTGCCCCACACCCCCATTTTCCATGCAATGAGTAGGGGCATATCTGCTAAATAATTGTCCCACCAACTCTCGAGACAAGTGGCCTATTCCTGTAAGGGATAAGTGGGTAAAAGGTCATCTGGGTTTTATCTCTTTCTATTTGTCATTTTAATTTTAAAAAAGTCAAGCCAAGTCTGCCACAACAATAAGAATTCTTCTCACTATCCGTGAGACATGGGAAGCTGAATTGCGTTACTTAGTAATTATGTTATTATCTGTTACAAAGTGCTACCTTCTTGCAAGTGTGTGGTCAGGCATCATTAAAATCCTTTACAATGTGCTCAGATCTAAAAATAAATATTGATGTTGAGCATAATGGCCATGATAAGATAGACCCAATGCAGTCTCTTGAACACTGTATCAAACACGTATCCCTGACCCCAGAGTGATAAAAAAAAAACAATTTAGGTTGCTTGCCACCAATTAACCCCCGTGAGAAATAGGAAAACGCACTTTATTTACAGCTCCATGTGGGTCGGCCAACGCTGGCCCCACGTGATACCCTTCCATGCTGACATCATCAGAATTAAATAATTTCAGACAAATAATAATTAAATAATTTGCCTGAAATTGGCAAGGAGGTGGGACGGACACAAGGCCAATCAATCAGCACCTCTTCATAAAGATGCATTGAAACAATGTATCTCAATAAGGAAAGTTCAGTGTGATGCTGAACACTATGCAGCACTACCCCAGGAAGCACCTCCAGTGACCATCTGAAGGGTGGCCATTGGAGGTATCCCTAGGCTGTAATGTAAACACATGAAAATGCTTGCAGGGAATGGTTATACTCACCAGAACAACTACATTAAGCTGTAGTTGTTCTGGTTACTATAGTGTCCCTTTAATGTTGTTGTTTTCATCTTTCAGAACAACAATTTATTCAAACAGTAAAATATAAGAATTGACAAAAGAATCCATATCTCTATTTTATTATCTATATATTTCTTTGTTTATATTAACACATTTGACACTGTAAGGGTTTTATTATTAAAGGTTAATGTGTTAATGACCATATTCAAGCTGATAAAAGTCTCCAATCCAGATGATTTTGTGATTTATTTATTTATTTTTATTTATTTTTTTCCTATCATTTTGCCCTGTATTTGTTAAATTGGTTTTAAAGCTAGCCATTTATTAAATAGATTCCTAAGATGTTATTTATTTCCAAGTTGTAGTGAAATCTTTTCAGCTTATTCACAAAACTGGAATTCTGCAGAATTGACAAAAGAAATGTATATTTATTATAA